CAAACATAATATGCTTTAAATTATAAAAAAAAATAGCAATTTGAAAAAACAAAGACACTTACCTAATTCTCTTTAGTTTACTCTTTTTCTTGTTTTTTTTTTACATCCCATGAAGTTGCATGTTTCGTGTATTATTGTTGACACATATTTTTTTCATTAAAATCAAGTTTTATTACTATGTTATTCAAAGCAAATATATGTACCTAATTATTAATTTATAAATAAAAGGGGAGAAAAAGAATAATAATCGAGTAATGTTGACTTCTTCAAGAGTTATAATTATAATATGCAGAAAAACAGGAATTTTTTTTTTGAAGACTTCGAAATAATTGATTAGCTGATTATTATTGACTAATTATTAGTTCCATCGCAAGGAAATATTTTTATGTGGCGTTTGGTGATTATTTGTAAATTATTTTCCAAACATATTTCCAAATTCAAAAAAAAAAAGAAAAAATTGAAAGCTCTATTTTTCGTTCATCAGAAAATAAGTTGTATGACATTTATTACACCGGACGAACTAACAAAGATCAAAAAAATTTATAGACTCACAAACAACTGTATAACCTTTCAATTTATTCATCGATAATAGTGAATATATTTAATCATTGATAAGATGAACGAATAAAATGATGAATAACCAATTAAAATAGTATGCTTTTGATATTTTAATCATCTGGTTTAGGTGTAGTCATGTGCTTATCAAGATTTTGATACTTTTAAAAAGAATTAGTTTTTTAAAAATAAATAAAATTCAAAATTTTTAAAATTGAAAAGGCCAAGGTTGGCTTCTTCTTGTACAGAACAATACTAGTACTAACCATTCTATGCGTGTAAATTGCAACTTCCAACGCAACTTAATTTGACTTTCTATTTTTTCAAATAGTTAAGTTTTATTTATATAATTGAAGCATTTAAAGACTTATATGTATATTTTACGCATATATGATATATTGTTACTTCAGATTGGACAAAAAATATAGTTCGGAAAATAATTAAAATATATTATTTCTTACATAAGAGACCAAAAAAATACATTTTTAGAATTTTAGTAACTCAGTGAATTAGTTATATGAACTTTCACTTTATTAATGAATGTATAATTTCTCATAGTATGATTCCTTAACATACCCCTATATTAAATAATAAAAGTTTAAAAAAATATTTTTTTAATTAATTAAAAGTTAAATACCTTTATTACATATCTGGGAATATAATGTGAATGATTCTCCTACAAGAATTAAATAACTAAATTTAAACACTTCCCTAAAACTTTTTAGAAGAAAAGCAAATACAGTAGTGATTGGGACAGACAAAAGTTATGGGCTATGGTACTACTGCACATTCCATATGGGGCACATTACAAATTTTTTTATCCGGTTAATTTGAATTTATATCATATAAGATCTATTTAAGAAAAGACGTTTTTTATAAAATTAAAATTTGAGACATATGATTAAGAATAAAGGAATCGTTAGTAGTTTTATAAGCCAACGAATTTTTTCAGTCTTTAATTACTTCCTTTACAAATCATATTAATTTTATCTAAAATTATGAATAATTTTGATAATATTTGTAACAATATACTGCTGTATTATATTGTTTCTTTAACTGAAAAAAAAGTCAATAATTAGTTATTTTGCTCTCTTCAGCTAAAGTAGTTTGCTTTTCCAGCCACCCCATAATATTTATTTATTTTATTTATGTTAACCTACGTACTAGAGTAGTATATAAACGGTTCTAGTTTAGGCTCTAGTTTTGAATAATAATGGGGTGCGTTAAATAAGAGATTTCTAATTTTTTGTTACGTTTGATTGATCAAAGTATTTTAAAATATATTTTTCTTAAGAAAAAAGTGATTTCTTTAAAAAAGTAAGAAAAATAATGTTTCTAATAAAATGTAAAAAATAAGTTTCACAACTAATATTTCAAGTTTATTTATTATCCTCATCCCTCTAATCCCCCACCCCACCCCATCAATATAATCCCCTACACATATATTTTTGTCAATCTTTATAGTGTATGTTTACATTTTAAAATATTATTATAATATTTGTTGTGTATCGAATACAAAAAATAATAATAAAACCTTATTTTTAAAGTTGGATTAAACATAAAAAAAAAGGTTGAAAGAGAAATCAAAAGTGCAGCCTCGTACTAAAATATTTAGCACATGTTACTTTTTGAGAGTCGAATATAAAAGTATCATAGATTATATTATTTTCTTATATCAATATAATAACATATATATTATTAAAATTTATATAATTTAATTCTTGATTTTGAATAACTAAAGTATTTTGAGACGGAGAAAACAATTCTAGATATGACAAGAGAATTAGTTGTAGAATTTTGAGGAAAAAGACATCCTGAAATATCGCCGGAAACATACAATTTGATGGAATTAAGATAACCCCTGGATTACGGCTTTAATTAATATTGAATTATATGCTCACGGATTAAGATTATTAACCTTTTTTCCTACATTTTCAACGACAATTTTTTTTGGGCGGGCACGGTTTGTTACTTTGAGTTAACTTTTATAAAATAAAATTTCAAAAATCAATCATGTTTAAAAAAAAAGGGAGTCATAAAAGGTTATAGTAAAAAAGGAAAAGAGAAAATATAAAAAGAAAGAGAAAGGGAGATATGGTTTATTAATTGCATAATTAAATCTAGTGTTTTTTTGTTTTTTTTTGGTTGTTGTTGTTGTTCAATTTGTTGTGTAATTTTATTAGGGTGGATGACCCTATAAAAAGTCTTCGAGGTGAAGTGATAAATATTTATTTTTATTTAATTGTTAATTTTGGGTTTAAGCTTCGATAGATAGAGAGTTATCTTATAGTTAATTAGAAATGTCTTGCTCTCTATAAGTTTATCGAAATTAAATATATTTATTGAATGCCGAGTGATAAATCAATAAACTTTTAAAGATTAGCTTAGCTCTATTAGATAAAAGTTCGGCGCAAATCGCAGTCTAAGACCAAAGTTTGAAAATTGGATAAAATATTGTCTTAGCCTGGAAGAAGTTTAATCCTATTGGACCAAAGTTTGACTATCTAAATGTTTTCTATTTCTGTTACAATGAAAAATATTAGGAGCGATATATATATATAAAATCAGGGGTGGATTTACATGGTGTTCAGGGTTCACTTGAATCTCTTCAATCGAAAAATTATACAAAATATATAGGATCAAATTTGTGTTTTATATTTATATATTTAATATTAACCCCCTCAACACGAGTAAGGGGATTGATTCAACGGTTATGGGGTTCAAAAACTAGTAGACGTGCGAGTTCAAAATTGGCTAGCAATTTTTTTTAATATTTTAACTTGAAAGTACAGTTCATTTGTCAGCACTATTTAGCATGTTTTTTTAACCCCCTCAGTGAAAATTTTGACTCCATCACGATATATAACAATTGAATCTATCTCATTCCATCCCTCAATCAACATGCAACACACCAACGCCTACCCCTTTTATATCACGAGTAGCTCAAACTATCTATCGACAATCAACAAATTTAGAAATTCAAATTATATTGTTGAACTATAACACTCAAAGTTTGATAGCGGCAAGTGCATAGATATCCGATTTTGAATCGTTTTTTTAACTCATGCTTAAGTTTATAAAAGTTTGAAATTTTAAATATTTTAAAATAATTCATCAGAATTTAAGCTTGAACGTATATCTCAATTATCAACTTTGATGATTTATTAATTTCGTTTTACTAATATTATATTTTGCAGTGATACATGCATTATATTTCACTCACGTACACGGTACATCCTTTTCACCAGTGATATTTTATTCATTTTACCTTAAATATCTTTCATTGTATTCATGGTACCTTATTATATGGTAACTCATCCAATATTTTAAAGTGAAGATGAGGAGGAAACATCACATTTTTTTTTGAAGTTTCCCAAAATAAAATACATGATAAATACTACCTCCACCTCAATTTGTATGACAACTTTTGAATTTCGAGATTCAAATAAATATTTTTCTAACAATTTTTTTCTTATATATCTTAAATATATTAAATTATCACAATAGGTCTTATAGTACATTTTACATAATTTTGTATTTCAAAAACTTAAGGATAGCATGTTTGATTTAACAGTCAAAATTAATTTGTTTAACTTTTGAAATCCGAATAATACCACATAAATTAAAAGAAAGAGAATTAGAATTTCCAAACAAAGCACGCCGTAATGAGGACGGGCTTCTTTGGGCTTACAATCTAAGCTCTTTTGTAAGCCCAACTTTGATAGGGCTGGGGGTTTAATGGGCCAAAACTTTGAACACTATTTTGAGTGATCTAATCGATGTTAATTTGGGGAGACGGGGGGGGGGGGACATGTCAAAATTAATATGTTATATTTTTAAAAATGTTTTCTTTGTAAAATTCGTGTCAAATTCAATAGTTTATAAACAGTAATACTAACATCAATAGAAGGAAAATAATTTATTCTCCATAGCGTTTATCATTTTGTATAATTTTATGTTTAATCGAACAATTGAATATTGAATGTAATATGTAACGTAGAAGGAAAAAACAATTTACATGAATTGTTACTACACATTAAGCTTTTTCTCTTTCAAATAAGTGAAAACAATATCTCTATATATTTAAAATAGGAATATACACCACAACTATAAATAGGTTGTAATTATAGTCAGAACAAAACATGACTAATTTTTTAACAGTAACCCCACGAAGCACTAGCAAAGGAAACGACCATCGAAGAAATCTGACTTGTAAAATTACACTCAATATGTGATTGTCATCCTGAGGGACAAAGCTAATCACTCGCATGCAAATTCGATCGAACTCCATTAATTTAAAATTCTAGTTTCGTCATTGTTCACCAGGTTTACATATTTCCACGTTTTATGTATGAACGAAATGTGGTCCCTACTCTCGATCTTTTCGACCGACCCGCTTCAGCTTTATCGGTTTATAAATACCCGGTTGACCATATTTCAGTTCTCCACGGTTATCAATAAAGATTTTTTAGAGAGATAAAACTCCATTAACAACACATAATCCTTCTCTCTCTAGCTCAATTCACAGCTTCTGACGAAGAACCTCAAGTCAATTTTCTCAATTTCGGGTTCACATAAATTCGGTTCGGGTCGGGTCAGCTAGGATGGGTGACTCATACTGTTCGGACTGCAAACGGAACACGGAGGTGGTATTTGACCATGCCGCCGGTGATACAGTTTGTTCGGACTGTGGACTTGTGCTGGAATCGAGGTCAATTGATGAGACTTCTGAGTGGCGTACGTTTGCTGATGAATCCGGTGATCATGACCCGAACCGTGTTGGAGGACCCGTTAACCCGTTGCTTGGTGATGTCGGTCTTTCTACTGTCATTTCTAAAGGTCCTAATGGAAGTAATGGAGATTCATCTCTAGCTAGGTTGCAGAATCGAGGTGGTGATCCTGAACGTGCCCTAGTTATGGCTTTTAAAGCTATTGCTAATATGGCTGATAGGTAAAACTTATCGAACTTCAACCAGTGTTTTAAAAAGTTCCCTTTTTTACTAGTATTTAGTTTGGGATATTTGAATTTTGAGCTAGTCCTGAAAAATTGGGAGTGAGGGAGTACTTTCATTTAAGAAAATATTACTAGCTCGGTTTCAATTTGTTTGTCTAGTTCATTTTGACTTGGCACGGAGTTTAGGAAAGTCAAAGAGACTTGAATTTCGTGGTGTTAAACCAAAGATATATAAAATGTATCAAAATGCATGATTATAAACATGTTAGTTGTCACGTGGATGGTTAGAATTAGAAGTCGCCAAAAAAGGGAAGTGATGTTTCTTCTGAAACGGACTAAAAAGGAAAGTAAGACAAATAAATTGAAATGGAGGGAGTAATATGGTGGTTTATTGAGTTCAGTGTTGTGTGATATTGACTATTTAGACCGAATATGTATTAGCCGAGGAGAACTGATAATGAATTTGAATGTTACTTAGAAGGGTGGTTTGAAGTATGTAATGGAAATAGTAGTGTGAGTTTAGGTATGAAACTCACACTGTCAATAGTTTAGGTATGAAATTTAGGTGTGTTTTTTACCCTTATCTCTTAGTTTATTTGTAAGTATTTTTTATTGCCAAAGCCAGTTGTGTGATTGAAGCCTGCTATTTTGCAAGGAGTTAGTAAAGTCCAACAAGGTATCACATTGGTTTGCTGCTCTTCCCTCAAAACTTTTAGACTTCCTTCCTGTCTACACTCTACATAGTACGCACATTGGGATGGTGCTCCACAGAACTTTGAGCTATGGATTCATCCTTTGTCCTCTCCAGCTACTGATTGCTCCTTTTTAGTTACTTGACGTTATCCATTTACTCCAAAAAGATTTGTAAAGCATACACCGAATCTGCTAGGATACAGAGCAATGCTTTTCACAAATGTACATTTGCTGCAACAGTAAGACATGATCTTTGCATAGCAATCCAAGTTATACGGACCACCTTCGTGCCACCTCGTTTTTTTTTTTTTTTTATAGAATACTCCAACGCCACTGCTTTTTTCTTCCAGTTCTAACCAGAACACTATAGCAATACTTAACAGAGGAGCAGCTAACCTTTTTTCTGCTTTTTAGGTTTTGGAGATAAGTCCTTTGTGAGATGTTATCATAACAATTATTTCATTTATCCTTGGCTGTCGATGAATTGAGACAATGATTATGTGCGCCTTATGTTCTTACTGTTTTTGAACGGCTAGCTAAGTGATTATGTTGGTTTCAGATGCATATTGTTGTGATTTGTATGACACCATGACTAATGATCTTAGACAGTTGTGTTTTGTCCTTTTTGCATGTCTTACATGCTGAGAAGTTTAAGATTAAGAATGGAGTTATTTTTGTTGGGTTAATCAAGTGTGTCCCCCATTATTGTGTGCATTAGTTAAATTAATTGTCTTTTTCCTTCTTTGCAGGTTGAGCCTTGTTTCCACCATAAAGGTTTGTCCTCCTGTTTTGTTAGATGTTTCTTGTTTCTCTTCTTCTTTTTTCGCATACAAAATGGAGCAGATTTTCGAATTGCTGTTGCTTGCTTGTTTTAAATCTCTGTTTTTTAACTAGTTTTGCTAAGAATATATCTTCAATTTACTAAACGAGCTTCACCTTGAACACGATACTCTCTAAGGTGTCGGTGATTCTTATTCTGGTAATCCAAGTCGTTCAAAATCTTTTACTGAAATTCTGGATGCCATACTGCTATATTCCTCTCTCTAGTCTAGAGTTATCTTCTTGTTTGAAGAAGATGACTTTCGCATCACATTGTGATGATCTCTGCCCATGCGTGCTATTATCTTTCATGTTATAGTTTGAAATCATAACACAAAGGCTACACAGCCTATGTATCCACCGCTGCCAGCTATCTTTCCTTGACAACGACCATCAGCATCGGATTAATGATCAAGGAAGTACTCTTTTAATCCATTCTATGGGAATCAACCTTTAACTTTATCCTTATCAAACCCTAGGGTATTGGGACAAATTTGCTCCTTCATTACGTAAGAACAAGTCTTACCCGTGTCTTTTTTTAACATGCATCTTTCCCTTAATCTTCTGCAGGACCGAGCAAGTGAGATATACAAAAGGCTGGAAGACCAGAAGTGTACGAGAGGAAGGAATCTGGATGCCTTGGTGGCTGCTTGTATTTACATTGCGTGTCGGCAAGAAGGCAAAGCACGCACTGTAAAAGGTACTACCATGATATCTTATTATGTAGATTAATGGTTTAGTCCTCTGTATGAACTTCTCTGAACCTTTGGGTGTTAACTAGAAATATGCTCAATCGCCAATGGAGCTACAAAGAAGGAAATTGGCCGAGCAAAAGAGTTCATTGTGAAACAATTGAAGGTTGAAATGGGAGACTCAATGGAGATGGGAACTATACATGCTGGAGACTATCTGGTGAGTGAGAGCAAGTTTTGTGGTCTGCTCCTCTTTGTGAGCACATTCAGTACAATATGAATATTTGTGTATTATCTGACACGGACCATGCATGAATGTCAGAGACGTTTCTGTTCTAACATTGGAATGAACCATGAAGAGATTAAGGCTGTCCAGGAAACTGTCAAAAAGTCAGAAGAGTTTGATATAAGGTACAGAAATGTTTTTGGTTGCAGTTATCGTCTAATTAAGTCATCAAATATTAATTATTTGTGCCTTAACCACAAGTAATTTTAGTCTAGCAATCAAGTAGATTGTGGATATGAAAAGATTAGAGCTTTAAACAACCGAAGGAAAATGGGTTTCGTCACTTTGATCACTAGCCACAAATTTGTATGTGACTATCTCATTGGTCAAATAACATAAATGTTTATTCCTGATTTTGCAGGAGGAGTCCTATTTCGATTGCTGCAGCAATAATATACATGCTAACACAGCTTACAGATTCAAGGAAACCCCTGCGAGGTTTGGGCATTACCTTCTTTTTGTAAGCCTGGGCAATATACTATGTTTTACCGCGCTATACTTTTAAGGCCTCCAATGCTATACTTCTATTGTTTCCAAGTCGACTATTGGTTGCAGATATACTGAAGATACTTTTATTCCAGCTCTGTTGCTTGACTGATAGGGTGTACATGCAGATATCTCAATTGCAACCACAGTTGCAGAAGGGACTATAAAGAATGCATATAAGGATCTCTATCCACATGCTTCCAAAATTATACCTCAATGGTATCTCAAGGATAAGGACATTAAGAGCCTAAGCAGTCCCAAGGCATAGAGTTCGATTTTTACAGCACCTGCTGCTCTCACTAATCGTTTCCAAGTGTGATTTCTATGTTATGTATGGCAGCGCTTAAGGGCATGTCGGTTGAAGGACCTAAAGAGCCTGTGTAGTTTAGATTAGTTTTTAGCAGTACGCGAATTTGCTGCTAGAAAGGCCTAAATCTTCAAGAAAGTGCCCAGAATAGAGACAATTAGATAGATATATTGAAGTTATAAGGGTAGTGTACTATAATATGTTGATCCCCTTAGTAATCAGAATCTTTTTCATTTCCACTTTTCTTCCCTCCCACAATACAGATAGGCTAATTAATTTCATAATCTATTTGATGTATATGATAAGGCCTTTGGTTGTCTATTTCTTTTTTATGGTTATCAATTGTCATTGGCAACATTTTTTCATTGTTTGTTCAGTTGAGGGTTAATAGAAAACAATCGATCTACCTTCTTAAGGTACATTTTTTCATAGACGTATATAAAGGGTAAGGCCTATGTACATTTTACCCTTTTCAGACTATTTATCGGAAGGTTTTTCCGAATTTTTTTGAGGCTAGTGACCCACAGTACAATACAATAAAATGATGAAATGAAAAAGGGTCCATGAGACCAAAAAAATATTTCCAAATAACTTGAGTAAGAGAGGAAAAATATTTGGGCATGGGAGACTTGTAAACTTGCAGACCCATGTCCAGCCATGCATCAAAGTCTTGTTGCCACGGTCCGAGTAAGGTAAGAGCTATCCAAATGCAAATACCTTCAAATAATAAATAAACAAAAGTAATTAATAATTATCCATTTCAACTAAAATATTTATATACATTAGAATAAATCCATGGTATGAGATGAGTATCATAATATAAAAATGCTACGAGCAATCAATATCAATATTAGTGAGGTCTGAATTTTCTTCCACACAATAAAAGTGGTTTCAATAATGATCAATCGCTTTTATCTTGAATGTACACCATTATCCAAACATAATAAGTTTTTTTTTTCAGCAGCTTAATTTTTATCTCTAAATTCGACACAAATTATCAACTTCATTTCCATATTATTGATAGTCTTAAAAACACTAATTTACATGACTAACTAAATCTAAATAAATTGACGTTTTTAAGGTTGTCAATAATTTAGAAATGAAATTGATAATTTGCATCAAATTTAAAGGTGTTTTTCATACTTTTTCTCATTATTAAATTATATTTTTTTCCATACTTCTTCTCATTATTAAATTTTATTTTCCATCTTTTCAAATATTCATTTTAGAGCTTAGTTGTCGACACTTCAAGTGTTGAAAGCATTTTTGTTTTTTGTTTCCATCACCTTTGGATCTTTGTCTATGGGACCTGATCTCTTTTTTGCGTTGTCGACATATTAATGGACTACACATTTATACTTATCATCAATGATGAGATAAGGCCGTATACCTATTATCTTTTTTAAATTTTATTTGTGAGATTAAAATTGATACATTATTGTTGTCAAAAAATAGATTATTAAAGATTACAATGAAATGATAGATAATATGTTCAATTTTTATTAAAAGTTTTAGTTAGAGACTAAAGTTATTTTAAGTTGGAGTAATTTACCCTTCAAATTAAATTTTGTGGTATGAATCTAAATTAGTGAAGGTAAAAATTTAGTCGTACTCGATATTTAGATCAAGTTTATAATGCATGATGTTTGTTTGTACATACACTTCTAGTACTTATATATGGTGGATTTACATAGTTTGGTATAAACATCCTCGATACAAATAAATAATTACTTCAAGCCACAAAATAACTGTCGGATACCTGATAAAATATAGAGTAAATCCTTCACACATTCGATATAATCAAAATGGTACAAAAAGGATTAGCATGCCTCAACGCGAAGCTAGAGAGTTGTTTATTGATGCACGTGAATTCAATTATTATTATAAAATGAATTTGAAGTTAATATAAGTATATATCCATAAATTTAAAACCTTTAATCTTGGCAAAATTGCTTTTATAAAAAAAAATGACACATACAAATAAACGAAAAATAACAATGTTACTGTTCATAATAAAGGAAAGTAGTTATCAGAAAATACATCAAGCAACAATTATACTTTTTTATAACACTCTCAACATATAGAAGTTAAATCCAAATGGAATTTTGATACATTGACTTCAAATGCATCATGCATGAATATCCTTGAATTTATTCAATACCCCAGGTTGCTCGGATTCTTTAGAAATGTATTTGTGCGATAATATTTTTCAGGAGTCTGAACAACATCGCCAGAACTAGTTATCTTGTTATATGAGATATGTATGAATCCAATTCTATACGTTTAATTCCACCCTCTGCCACTGATTTTCTAATTTCTACACTCAAATATTTTGCTTTGTTCCTCATTTCATCTCCTCCTTTTGATGCCATTAATTTTTCCACACATTTTTTCACCACATTTGATTTTACCAATTCATTCCTATTAGCCCATTCTCTAACAACAATTCCAATTTTAAGCATCTTGGTAATTAGTACAGCGTTTCTTGGTTGATCAGAATGCATTGGCCATGCAGCTATTGGCACGCCCATCGAGATACTTTCCATGCAGGAATTCCATCCACAATGACTCAAGAATCCACCAGTCGAACAATGTGACAAAATCTCCAATTGAGGTGCCCAATCTCTTACCAAAATCCCCTTTTCTTTAACTCTCTCCTCGAACCCTTTTGGCAATTCAATCTTTCTTGATGAGTCTTTAGTAAAAACATTCCCTTTATCCGCGTCTCTCAACACCCAAATGAACTTTTGTTCGCTCTGCTCTAGTCCAATTGCGATTTCCTTGATTTGTTCGTCAGAAAATGAAGTCGTGGTACCAAATGACACTAATATCACCGAGTTTGGTTCTTGTTTGTCGAGCCATAACAAACACGTGTGACTTTTGGTATTGGGCCCGTTCTTGGGAAATGTGATTGGGTTAAACGGGCCGAGGGCCCATTGTTTTTCGTTGTTATTGGTCACTTCTTTCGACAACAAATCAAGAAATGGACTTTCCATGACTCTACACGTGTTGAAAATCTTTCCCGAGTTAAACTTCATGCATTCATATTCTCTTTTCATAAGTTTCTCAAATTCTGGACTAAAACAACCTTCGAGGGAAGGAAGGTCAATCAACATTTCAGAGTCTATAAGAAACGGCTTCTTTTTCCGCTCCCATATAAATAGGAGCAGAGTAAAAGCTGACACACTATGGAAAGTGTATGCCTCAGCATTTGGTATTGACACATAATCTTGAACAACTGATCCCATCAGAGAGTCGTTTATGATAACGACTCTCTCATACTTGGATGAAAGCGTTTGGATTAACCTTTTCACAGGATTCCTCAGATAAGACGATGATTCAAATGAAGATTGAAGATGAGATGGAAATTTAATTCGCGAATTTGGATTTGGATTTGGAGAGATGAAACTTGGAGTAGGAAATTCATGGAAATGAATTTTGGAAAAAGAGTCAAAACTATTAATAACTCTAACTTTTGCTTGAAGATTATGTGTTTTTGTACTAACATAGTGGACTTTTATGTTGTTGTAAGATGCTATAAGGCAAGAGAGTTGTAGAAGTTGATTAAGATGACCTTGTGCTAGAAAAGGGACTATTACTACAACAATTTTTTGACCTTTTTGGTTATTTTTGCAAATATGAAGATTAGAAGCCATTGAAGAAATAAATTCCCAATGAATATTTTTAACTTTGTATGAGAAAATATGAACTTGTTTTTTTTTTCTTGGCTAAAATTTTTGGTACAAACTTTCTCACAACTCTACCCCCTATTTATTATTTAATTTGGAGAGGGTGAGAATATGTGTGGAGAGGGTGAGAGCACGTGAATAACTGATCATGTGATATATACAGAGATATAATTTGCTTATATTGAGTAACACGGCAATAAAAGTAGGTACGTGAAGTTAAGAGTTTTAATTGCGAGTTTAATAAAATGATGAAAATTTTATATTTATATTAAAAACTCTTTTTTTGTTCCTTTTTTTTTATTAAAAAGAATTAATGATAAAAAAACCATCATAAACTATCGTATTTGTAAGTTCCATACTCAATTATCAGTCGATTTCTTTTTCTACCTCAACTATTATAATCAATACATCAAAGTTGATTAGGCCAACTATTTTCCTTTTCTATTTGAACTATCTTCATCTACTTAACTAACTAGGTGTGCTTTTAATACATAGATGACAATAGTTCAAGTTGAAAAAAAGGGTAGATAATCAGGGGCGGCTCAACGCAATCTGAGGCCTAAAGCGAAATTTCAATTAGAGGTCTAAAATCTAAATAAACTTCATATGCATTAATTTTTTTTTTAAAAAAAAAACTTACATTTTTAAATGCAAAGTATACTTAATATTATTTTTTTATAAATGATTTATTCGATTTCTTTTACAATTATTAGCTTTAGATAAGATTTTATCAATTCAACGTTGAAAAACATTTCTTACTCGGGCAATTATTATATGAATTGTTAACATAGAATTTGATTCAACAAGTTGATAATTTTATATACCCCACATTTTACTATGCTTGTTGTAATGCTTGAAAATCTAAGAAGAAATAGAAAAAGAATTTACAATTCACTCAACACTTTTCGACTATTGATTCATATTTTTGATAGAATATTACTCTAACTTATCAAAAATTTAAAGAAGAGAGTGTAAAAGGAGTTAAAAGAATAAAATAATGTGAATATTAGTGTAGTGAGTGTAAGAAAATAAAACATTTTTTCTTGATTTCTTCTATTTAAATGGGATTAAAGAGAATAAAAAATATATATATTTTAAAAAATATATATTATCATAAATAATCAATCTTTTCTATAAAAATTTAGCACATAATTTATTATTGGTAAAAAATTGAGGCCCCCTAAAATTGAGGGGCCTAAGGCCAATGCCTTATTCAAATAAGCATAGAGCCGGCCCTGTAGATAATAATAGTTCAAAAATTCTAATAGAAAAAAAAAGAACAACTAATAATTAAAATCGCAAAAAGTGATAGCTCAAATATATTTTTAATTATTAATTCAATTAAAAAATATAAATTCTAAATTCTAAATCTACTTATTTCTAGTAGACATAAAGTTTTTATTGTAGGACATAGGTAGACATAAAGTTCTTTTAAGGCCTAATCCATCGGTGACCATCTAAAGTTGACACAAATTTTCACTTAGACACTTTAACTAGGATTTGTTCATTTTAGACACCTCATGTCATGCCTCGTTATGTCTTTTTGACACTTTTTTGACAATCAGCCAAATGTGTAAGGTGTGTGTGACACACTCGCGAGGACATGTC